CTCCAAGGGACAGCACAGGACTATGAGGACTCAAGCCTGTTGGAACAACCTCTCTGGTGAGTGTTAAACCATCCTGGAGGGTAAATTGGTAACTCTTTACTCCCCTCTTTGACCAGCAGTCTACCTTGTTTTTTTACCAATGAGACTAGGGAAGATGGCAAGAGGGTTGGGGGAGGCAGCATTAAAACTTATCATGTTTGCCCATACCTGGTGTTACCTGCTTCTCAGTAAAGGTCCACTCATTTCTAGTTAGTCTTTCTGGTTGGTCCTTGGAAAGTTAGTCTCTAATAAGAACAATACCAGTATAGGTTCATGACCCCTTATCCAATTCCAAAATCTAAAGGGTCTTGAAAACCAAATAAAAAAAAATGAATAACTTATTTGGCAGCAAAATATGACATGATCTGATGACCTTTATTTACTTTTATTACACACTTAACAGTAAATATTTGCTTATTTGTTTTCTGAAGAAATGTGTTTGATGACTCCCTCTGGGTGTGTGTTGTTCTATATTGTATATGCCCCATATTTCCTTTCTAAAAAGCAAAAAACAAAACAAAACAAAACAAAACCCAAAAAAGCCCCCCAAATCACAACCCTGAAATGGCCCCAAGCATTTGGATAAAGACTTGCGGCCTTCAAAAAAAAAAAAAAAAAAAAAAAAAAAATCAGGTCCTACTTTGCCCAAACAGAGGCTTGTATCTCTCAGAGAAGGGTAATTATTATATTCATTATTAAAGACTCAGTTTCTACTTCTGTCCTGGATCTGATCATCTGTCAATTGAAGTAAACTCTCTTGTTAGCAGTAGAATTAACAAAAATGCTGGGAAATGATAATGTGTTTGAATTGCTACATGGTGAAACTGGGAAGTTGAGAAGTTTTTTTCCTCTCAGTAATGCAGAGACTCAGATGCCACTAACACATAATGACATCCTAAAATTCATTATCTGTCCGTTCACCCAACCATCCACCCATCCATCCAAATATGAGATCTTCCTACAACTAACAAAGATCATCCTTCTGCCTGTGGCACATGAGCTGCCAGTTAGTGAAATCTTGCTGCCTGTGGAAAGCCCATGTTCAGGTATTGAATCACCCCTACTTTCTTGCTATAAAATCTATAAGGGGAGGGATTGGATCTACAGCTGTCATTATGCCTGATAGATATGAAGCCTCTGAGATCTACAGGTTCCCAGGGATGGATGGAAAATACACGGTGGGAGTCAGGGCCCAGGGTTTAAGTCTCAAAATGTGTTAGCAACAGGAAGGACTGGCTGCTTGATGGTGGAAATTCAGAAAAACACAGCGAGGAGAACTGCAGATTTGGTATTTTCTTCTTGGGCTCATTCCCTGAATTGTTTATCTTTGCAACCAGATTTTGGTTGACATTGTGTAGCACTTATTCCTGTCTGTTTGCATGTTTTTCCATTCATTGTGGATCTCACCTGTTGGTAAAATTCTGCTCAGAAGTTTATTTCTTTCCTAGACTTAAGTCTCAATGGCACTGGTAATCACAGACCTAACTGCTCTTTAAAACAGGGATTTTTATTTTTAATTGCTCTCATTTAGTGAATACTTACCGTGTTCCCAGACATTAGGCTAAATGCTCTACATACTTTACCATGCTTAATCTTTACATCAACTCTTCTGAGGCAGGAACCCATCCGATACATGAAGAAACAGAGGCCCAGAGAATGTTAAGTGACTTGCCCAAGGTCACACAGCCTGAACTCATCCAGGTCCATCTGATGTCAAAGCCCTTGCTTTTAATGACTCTAATCCCTCTGCATGTTTTTTTAAAAAATGCATTTGAAGGTTTGGGGAAATGTGCACTACGGTATAAGGGTGAAACATCTTTAAGTAGGGATTAAGATTAAAGAGGAAATATCCTTCTGCTTTCTTTCTAACTAAAAAGATATTTTCTGGCACTTTAATTTTTTTTTTTTTTTATGAATTCCAAACAATGGTGTGCTGGAGCTGGCCCATACTGGCTCTCACAAACTGATTTTGTGCATCTCTTCCCAAATCTAAGTTCGATGACTTCATATTGGTAAGCCTGAAATCTGTTATGGTGGGAATATTTACACCATGGAAATTGTCATTGTTACAAATCATGGCTCTCCATCCCTTGGAGACTGGTCGTTAGACATTTACCAGCATACCACTGATCCCAAGCTAAAACCCCCATCAGGAGGAAATGGTCCACTAGAAAAAACCCCAACAAATACTCTGACTTCCTATGGGAATCTTTCCTGGACTGCATTTTTTCTCAGGTCTCGCTAGATCTGGTTCAGGCTGTGTCTGCTCTTATAGAACTGGACATCCTCAGATTCCTGATGGAATTTACAAGTCACAGTCTGTCTGCTACTCTCAGTGTGACCACTATGTCTTTTCACTGCAGTTAATTTTTGGTCACGTTCTGAACACATTTCTAAAACCAGTCACAGGAAATGAAGATTGTCCTTTTTCTCTCCTCGATGCAAGTTCTACATGGTGTTCTTCCCTTGATTTGGTAGAATGGGTGCCCATGTGTCAGAGGAAAAACATTACTGCTGGTGGCTTGCTCAGGGAGATGAAATGCTACTAGAAGTCCCTCGTGATGCTCAGGGGCCTTTTTCTGAGAATCCCAGCAATCATTTGGGAAAAGAATTAGGTGTTGCTTGGACCTAGCGCTTCCCATTTCTCAGAATATGGCCAACAGAAATATTTGCAACTGGGCCTAAAAGATATAAAGATCTTTTGTGCAGTACTACTTGAAATGTCAGAAAATTTAGGAATGAACTGAGTGTCCATCAATAGAGAAATGGTTATCTAAATTATGCTTCATCAGTACAAGAGAATGCTCTGCTGCTGTTAAAAGAAGGTGGAAACTTTGTATGTACCATCATGGAAAGATGCCCATGAGTCATTGTAAAAGGGAAAAAAATCACATAGAGAATAATATTCAGAGTGTGATACCGTTTCCGTTAAAAAAAATGTGTGTATCTGTATATATTTAAAAGTGGAAGGCATTAGAAAGATTTGGAAGGACATACCTTAGACCGTTAAAAGGGGGTTTCTCTAAAGAGGGGATTTAGAGGAGGGAATAAAGGTTTCAGACTTATATAGGTGTGAATTTAAAAAAAATTTCCATAAGAATAAGTTGTATTCACTTATTACTTAAGCAGTTTTGTTTTAAAGAAAAATAA